GTGCCTGGCCTCTGGCCCCACTTTATTTTTTTTTCTTTTTTCTTTTTTTTTCTTTTTTTCTGAGACAGAGTTTCACTCTTGTTACCCAGGCTGGAGTGCAATGGCACGATCTCGGCTCACCGCAACCTCCGCCTCCTGGACTCAGGCAATTCTCCTGCCTCGGCCTCCCGAGTAGCTGGGATTACAGGCATGCACCATCACACCCGGCTAATTTTGTGTTTTTAGTAGAGATGGGGTTTCTCCATGTTGCTCAGGCTGGTCTCAAACTCCTGACCTCAGGTGATCTGCCTGCCTTGGCCTCCAAAGTACTGGGATTACAGGCATGAGCCACTAGCACCTGGCCATGGCCCCACTTCTTACCTGACTTGGCTGAGCGACTTAACCAATGTGTGCCTCAGTTCCTCATCTGGAAAATGGGGTATGGATTGAAGGTGAGGACACATGTTTCTGGACACGGCCTGACCTTCTGTGTTGTGTATTAGCTGCTCTTCTTATTATTATGCCATTCCCTTCCCCCAGGGCAGGGGATCAGCTGTACTCTGGCCTGAAGGCCTGAGGCCAGCTTGAGGGACAGTTAAGCTCTCCAGCCTCTGGGGACCTGTGGGCTCACTGCCTGAACCCAGCACTGCCGGCCCTGGCAGCTGATCAGATGTGGCGGCGCCCAGATGGACAGTGACAGCCTCTAAGTCTGAGCCGGGGCTGCTGGGCCACGCTCGACACAGGAGGGGCTCTCCAGGGCAGATACGGGCTCTGTCTGGCAGATATCCTAGAGAATTCTTGGGCTGGGCCACGCCTGGTGGGGATGGCTGTGTGTGTGTGAGGCCAGGGTAGAATAGAGGTCTCCTTTCTCAGTTCTTCCTCATCAGAGTCCATTTTCCTTTTTTTTAAAGAGACAACATCTCACTTTGTCACCCAGGCTGGAGTGCAGTGGCACAATCACAGATGACTGTAGCCCCAAACTCCCAAACTCAAGCAATCCTCCTGCCTTGGCCTCCTGAGGGACTACAAGTGCACGCCACCATGCTCGGCTAACTTTTTTTTAATTTTTTTGTAGAGATGGGGGTCTCACTGTGTTGCTCAGGCTGGTCTTGAACTCCTGGCCACAAGCGATCCTTTTGCCTTGGCCTCCAAAATCTCTGGGATGACAGATGTGAGCCACTGTGCCTGCCCCATTTTTGTTTTATTTGTCTTTTTGCTTTCTCAGTTCATTGAGCATTTCAATACCCTGAGGGGTCCCCCAGCCTGGGGGTGGGCAATGGGGGCCATGATAATAGGTATATTGGTAGAAGGGACCCCTGAGGGCCAGATTGGGGCAGAAACCCTCTCAACAAGCAGACCAGTGGGGTGTCACACCCTCCGCTGAATTCCTGAGCCTCCTGGAGGGTGATGGCCCCACCCAGAGTCCCACGACTCCAGAGGTCCAGCCACGCTGCAGTCTGAGTGGGTCCCAGCCACCACGAGTGGCCCCACCCTGGGGAACACTCCCTGACGGCTCCAGGCCAAGTCTTCCCACTGGGGTTGCCGGCCTCAACTCACTCTGTGTCCTTGGCCAAATGCCCCTTCCTGAGCCTTGGTCCCTTGGCTCTAGAGAAAACAGTTGCCCAGGGCTCTCGGAGATCTGGAGGCTTAGGCAGTCCCTGCGTCCGTGGTTTTTGCCCATGGATACCCCCCAGCCCCACCCACTCTGAATGGCCCAAGGCAGGTGCCTGGCAGGGAGGCCCCCATTCTTGTCCTGAATCACCTTCCTCACTGGGCCTGGTGCATGCCAGGGGCCCTGGGAGGACCACTATTTAAGGGCCATCCTCGAGCTGTCCCCAGGCCAGCTGCAGCTCCAGGGAGCTCTCCAGACCATGGTAGGCTGGGGTTGTTCCACCTCCGACACAGCCACCTTCCCCTCACCCCCACCTCCTCCCCCAGGGAGCTCAGACCTGTGGCTGTGGCTTCTTTGGCTTCAGCACTGCAGTCCTCTCCCGCCTACCCCTGACCCCACCCCTGAACCTGACCTCATTCCACAACTTTTTTTTTTTTTTTTTTTTTTTTTTTTTTTGAGACAGAGTCTCTCTCTGTCGCCCAGGCTGGAGTGCAGTGGCGCCATCCTGGCTCACTGCAACCTCCACCTTCTGGGTTCTAGCAATTCTCCTGCATCAGCTTCCTGAGTAACTGGGACTACAGGCTTGTGCCACCATGCACAGCTGATTTTTGTATTTTTAGTAGAGGCGGGGTTTTACCATGTTGGTCTCGAACTCCTGACCTCAAGTGATCTGCCCACCTTGTCCTCTCAAAGTGCTGGGATTACAGGCGTGAGCTACCGCGCCAGGTCTCATTCCTCAACCCTGAGCTCATCCTGTGACCTTGACTCCGGCTGTGATTCTGACCTTCGCCTCCTGCCTGAATTCACCCAGCCTCTCACTCACCTTCCTGACCTTGGTCTGATGTTGTCCCTGGTCTGACCTGCTCTTCCCTTTTGATGTCATGTCTGGACCTGCCCCACCTGGGAGTCCTCTCCACGTGGGTCCTGATTTGAGTCTCTGCTTTCCTGGACTCGGTGGGAGCTGCTGGGGAATGAGGAAGGGGAGGGTGGAGGGAGATGGGGTGGGCGGGGCCTGGGGGCTTTACAGGGGCAGTGGCATGGGCCTCTGGGAGGGTCGGGGAGCTCTGAGGTTCCCCTGCTCATCCTTGCTTTCGGGCCTCTTTGGATGTGGGGCTTGCCCGGGGCTCCTGCCCCTGGGGACTCCCTGGAGGGTCTCAATCTGGCTGTCCCTTTGTGCGTGCGTCCCACCTGCCTCATTAGTGAGTCCCTCTAGGCCCAGAGCTCTGACTTGGCTGTCAGTCTCGGCTTGTCACCTCCTGACTGCCTGAGGGCCTAGGGGCTTCTCCGACCTCTCAGCACCTGGCCCCTCCTCCGTGTCAGCCTCTACGGACTGCCTGTCTCCAGTGGGACTGGGAGCTTCTTGGGGACAAAGACGGGGCCGGATTCAGCCCTGGGTCCCCAGGACGGGGCATGGGGCCTGCTTGGAGGTCCGCAGGAGTCTAATATATGTCCTGATGCTTTGATGTAGGCATGCTCTTGGTTTTATAAATGGGGAAACAGGCTCAGAGATGACAAGTGAATTTCTTTCTTTCCTTTTCTTTTCTTTTTTTTTTTTTTTTAAGAGATCGGGTTTCACTATGTTGCCCAGGCTGGTCTTGAACTCCTGACCTCGTGATCCCCCAGCTTCGGCCTCCCAAAGTGCTGGGATTACAGGTGTGAGCCACCACACCCACCCTTTTTTTTTTTTTTTTTTTTTTTTTTGAGACGGAGTCTCTCTCTGTCGCCCAGGGTGGAGCGCAGGGGCCTGATCTCAGCTCACTGCAACCTCCACCTCCTGAGTTCAAGCAATTCTCCTGCCTCAGTCTCCCCAGTAGCTGGGATTACAGGCATGTGTCACCAGCCCCGGCTAATTTTTGTATTTTTAGTAAAGACGGCATTTCACCATGTTGGCCAGGCTGGTCTCGAACTTCTGACTTCCAATGATCCACCCGGCTTGTCCTCCCAAAGCTCTGGGATTACAGGCATAAGCCACCGCGCCTGGCTGACAAGTGAATTTCTTAACATCACAGAGGCTGGGAGCAGCCAAGCCAGGCTTTGAACTCAGGTCCAGGTGGCCCCCTCCTTCCCTGAGATGTTCTTTTCAGGGGAATTTTATTTTTCAGGAGCCCATTCTCAAAAAGAATTTCTAAGACAGCTGGGCTGCCAAGACCCTCAGGTTTAGGGCTCTCTTTTGCAGTAGAGAAAATGATCTCTCCCTCCCTTGGGGAGCTCTGGGGCTCTGGGGCACCCTAGGGCAGTGGTGTGACCATGGGGGTCATGAAAGGCCAGGGACCTGGGGGGCAGGGACTGAGGATGCCGAGGCCACGGCCAGCTGGGTCTGCCAGAGAAAGGGCAGAGCCTCCCACAGACGGAAGTGATCATTTTTTATTAATCGGAGGAAATGTATATGTAATTATGTGAGATGAACTCTGCGGGGAAGTTCTTTTCTTTATGGTGTCTGAAAGGGTTTATAAATATTACAGAGGTTTTACAGCATCATAACGTCCCGGCCGCCCTGGCAGCCCCCTTTCAAAGGATTAGTAGAGACAAAGCACCCAGTAAAAGCTAATTATAAGTCAGCCGGCGCTCTACCCGCCCCCCTCCGCCCCACCCTCGACAACTCGGGCTCCTGGGCGGGGGTGGGGACCGCAGTGGGCTGGGGGCAGGGGAGACCACACAGGCGTTGGGGGAGGGGAGCAGGGAATCAGGGGAGTCCTTTGCTCAAGCGGGGGCGGGTAGACAGGGGCTTGGCAGGGGATGGTGGTGCAGGTTGTGATGGAGACAGGGGCTGGCAGTGGGGGCCTGTCTGTGCCATCCTGTCCACCTCCCCCTGTGAAGTCCAGCAATTCTTTCCCCACAACAAGAGCCCGTTCTGGGGCTCACAGGGCCCCTGGGGGCTGTAAGGATGGCTGCCGAGGGACAGGCCCCTTAGGGGTCTTGGGGACCTGGGGCTTTCAGCAAATGCCCAGCGGTGGACTTCCAGGCACCCTGACATCACAGAGGCAGGAAGGCTGGCTGGAGACCATCTAACTGCTCCACGTGGGTGGTCTCCTGCTTTGCCTGCTGCGTGGGTTGGCCCTGTGTTCTGGGCAGCTATTTCCAAGCACTGGTTGATCCCCACTTTGAGGCAGGTTCAGGGTGGGGACAGGAGGAAACAGAGATGTGACAAATTGGCTTTATCCCACTTAGTCGGGGAGACAGATGCAGAGATACGTCAGGGCAGCGTGGGGCGTGCTGTGGGGGTGACAGTCTACAATGGAGCCACGTATGGAGCCGTATGGGAGAGGAGAATGGCCTGGGGTCAGGGAAGGCTTCTCGGAGGAGGTGACGCAGAGCTGAGGCTGCAGGATGAGTAGGAGTCTCCAGATGGATTCTCCAGGGGGTGCATTCCAGGCAGGGAATTCCAGCAGAGCAAAGCATTCCAGGCAGGGTCAAACGCAGGCAGGCAGGGAGGCTGCTTTGGGGCAGAATAGAGGGCCTGGGTGAGAGGGAGTAGAGGCTCTGAAAGGGGGCAAGAGGCAGATCCAGCGTCGGGACTAAGAGCTCAGTTGTTCTGAGAACACGAAGGTTTTCAGCAGCTGGCGACAAGGTCAGATTCCAGCTGTCGTGGAGGATGCCGGGTGGAGATGGGGAGGCTGAAGGAAAAGATGCCCCCCTCTGCTCGGCAGCACAGGTGCTGGCCGCCCACCTTCCTGAGCCCAGGGGACAGGTCCAGGAAGCAGCTGTCCAGTTCTGTGGGGGTGCATCCCATGCAGGCTTCTTGCCACGGGCTGGGAAAACGTCCTGATTACCTGCACGGCTTCAGGGGCAGACTTGTCTGTCTGCTGTGGGCACTGGGGAGGGCAGAGCAGTGTCATTCTGGACTGTGATGCCCTGGGAGGTGAGGCAGGGAGTGGGGGCTGACCCCCGAGGCAGGGGCCGCTGCAAGGCCCCGTCTGGTACCTTGCAGGCACCGAGAAGAGCTCGGAAAAGAGCAGAAGGCACTGCCAGCTCCAACGTCTTCTCCATGTTCGATCAGTCCCAGATCCAGGAGTTTAAAGAGGTGGGTCTGCTGCCCCACAGGGCAGTTGCGAAGATTCATGGAATGCATGCCAGCTGCTCAAGGAGCTGGGCAGAGGGTCGGTCCTCAGTCTCGGGGGGCTGACGATTTCATATATATATATTTTTTTTAATTATTATTTTTTATTTTTTTAATTTATTTTTTATTTATTTTTTTGACAGTATCACTCTGTCACCCAGGCTGGAGTGCAGTGGCGTGATCTTGGCTCACTGCAACCTCCACCTCCTGGGTTCAAGCAATTCTCCTACCTCAGCCTCCCAAGTAGCTGGGATTACAGGTGCCTGCCACCATGCCGCACTAATTTTTTGTATTTTTAGTAGAGATGGGGTTTCACTATTTTGGCCAGGCTGGTCAAACTCCTGACCTTAGGTGGTTCACCTGCCTCGACTTCCCTAAGTGCCAGCATTACAGGCGTGAGCAACCGTGCCTGGCCCATTATTATATATATATATATTTTTTTTTTTTTT